TTCAGGGTTACGTAAACCAAAAGAATTGTTACTTTTGTTTAAAAAGGACTGCAAACACAATTTTCCAAACCCGGAAATCCTTTGAATGATTTCAAAGTCCAAACTTCCCAGAAACGTAAAGGAAGGAAAAACAAGTAAAATGAAATTAGTGTTCTACCCTTTCTTACCCTCCCACACACCTTAGTCCCACATATGTATTATGTGATCAAAGTTATTAACTATGTAAATAGACTAGTTATTGTTACTAGGTACCATTCTGCATGACATACCTACATCATCATCAACAGGCGGAAGTCGTCCACTACTAAACGATTGGCTTACCTACTATTACCTAATAATGTGCATTAATGATTTTATTACAATTACATTTATATTAGACGATCAGAGCACACGACGCTCGACACTGGCAGTATAGTCGACAAGATAGTTTTGAAGACTCGTTTGCCAAAGAAGAAAAAAAAAAGAGCACACGACGATGTCACACACCAAAGTATGACAGAACGACAGATAGACAGTATAGACAGTGCGCTCCGTGACAGCTGTTGACCTTATATCGTACAATACAATATAGTATTGGGACAATATATATACAAACTTTCACATTTAAAATATTACGTAGGATTACTTATAACTTACATCAACAGCCTATAATGCCCACTGCTGAGCAAAGCCTCTTTCCACACGGAGAAGGTTTGAGCATTAATCACCACTCTTGCTAAATGCAGGTTGGCGATTTCAAATTTATAATTAGAAATTATAAGCCCAGGTTTCCCCACGATGTTTTCTTCACCGTTTATCAGTGGTGTCTGAATAATCTCAGAAAGTACATATAACTCAGAAAAAGGCACATTGGTACTTGGCGGACCACCATGACAATAAGATACTAATAACTTACAAAGAAATATTATAGGGTACTGCGATGGTATATGATCGGATTACTAAAGATGCTATTAGCATGGCGACAAACCCGGAACGGTAATTTTGTCGCAATCCCGCCTGAGAGTTGAATGCAAACTCATCATCGTTTATCATCCTTAAAACCCTTTTCATACACTAATAAACCCCGTTGCAGACAGTTATGCCACTCATATATAGATCTAACTGCCTCGTTGGCCAAGTGGTCGCAAGTGCGACTGCCGGGCAAGGGGTTTCGGGTTCATTTACCGGGTCAGGCAAAGCACTAGTAGTACTAAGAGTAGCACGGAGTCTGGAATTGTGCCCGGTATATGGCAATAGGCTCACCACTTATTACATAGGACGCATAACATAAATAGTTAAAAGTGGGTGGTACATTGTACAGTGGCATTAGATGCCGTAATGTGCACCTGTATATATTGTATGTGTACCTGTGTATATTGTGTAATATAGATCTCATATATATAAATCTGTCCATGATATAAGTGTTCTGACAATCTTTAAATAAAAATAAATCGATTTTGCTGGGTTAATAAAGTGTATAGTGTATTTTTATTTTCAGATTGGTAATAATTGTTGGTTCTCCTAAAATAAGATCAATTTATATAAACTACATTGACAAGCTATGGTCATAATTATGGCCACCGTAAGCGCGGGCCTGCGGACGGCGAGCATGGGTGGCTCCCCGTCCAACCAGAAACAGACCCGAGCGTACGGCGCGTCGCGTTCCGCGCGCGCCTCAAAGAGCCATCAGACCACACCTATGGGGAGATGGGGATGGGGATGATGGGGCCCAATAGGGCCGATGCCGATTCGGAGTCGCGGAGAAGACGTGCAGGAGAAGGAACGGGGTGGTTTTTAGTCAGTAAGAGTCTGACACTCCCTCTCGCCTCACCCAGGTGGGAGCAGTCATTCGATGATTTTCCCCCCTAAAAAAAAAAAAATGGTCATAATTATATTATAACTATGTATCTGCTATCAGTTTTGTAGACGAAGATTAATCGTAATAACGTTGTTTTTAATTTTCAATCGCAGATATTGAGTAGAACTTCTGATATGTATCATGAAATTTTTAGACGTTACCTACTTATAGAAATCAAAGCCTTTCTCACAATGCTACTAATTTAAACATTTTCGTTAAATACTTACAGCACAAACAAAATTCATTGGATATCATCATATTCTCATTACCACAAGCTGGCAAACGAAGACAAATAAATAAGTACTGGATAAAAATATTTCTGAGCAGCAACCGTGGGAGGTGGCATTAATTTTATAGACTCAATTAATATATAACCTGTGTGGTTGGATAACGCAGTGGACTGTTATAGCGTGATACATGAAAAGAAAGAAAGAAAAAAACATATATTCATACTGATTTCCAGTAGTCGTTCGGTGATAGCTGATGATACCTCCACTCTTTTCCCCGGGTATCATTAGTGTCGACTAAGAGATATACTATATTTAAGAAACACCGGACTGTAAACTTTTTTAATAAACCTTATATTTTATTTATTTCAAACCGGTCTAAAGATCATACCAGTACACGATAACGGCACGACAGCGGCACGGCGTTTTTGCTGTAGAAACAAAACAAAAAGGTTGTTAGCGCGCTGTCAGCGCACGGGCAGCGCGCTTACAGCTTTTTTATATTGACGCTATGAAATATGTCATATGATATAAGATATAATGTTGATATTTAATTGTCAATTAAATGGTTGAAGCCGTGCTGGTTAAGTGTGTGGCTTATGTATGGAGAGCCAGTTTATGATGATAATAATTTTCAATACAAAGTTAGAACATAGTCCTATGGTTTGTGAATGTATATTATAAGTAATTTAATTTGACCTTTATAGTAATCCACAATTAGTATCAAACGCACAAAGAACAGTTAATTTCTTTCGCGTCATTAGCGCCGCCATTTTTCTTTTATTCTCTTTGTAAAGTTGAACGTTTAATACAAAGTTTCTTCAGTAACCGTTAGTTATTGTAGTTTGGATTTTTCTTCAGTTTTCCTTATTACAATTAGTTTTTAGGTTACAATTTTGGAATTTTTCGTTTAAAATGAATACTAATATAATTCAAATCTTATCTTCAAAATTCCTGAACAAATTTTATTTGTGTGTTTTTGTGTGTGATTTGTTTTTCGGCAAAATTACGTAATTATTTGACAAGGAACTCGACTACTTTCAAGCCATGCTAGAGACTCATATTCATTAGCAGTATTCCGCGACCCGCGACGCGGCCACCGTCGCGCTGTTATCTAGCATGGTTTGAAAATAGCCGAGTTCCTCGTCATACATACTTATAATTACGTGAATAAGCTGTAAAACGTAATACCTTATATTTTTTTTTTACTTTATTTAACTTCTTTTATTATAACTTTGTCATGAGACATAGGTACTATATTAATGACTATGTTTTTCGGCTTACACATAACACGGCGACTGTCATGAATGCTGCACATGAAGAGTCTATAACATATCTTGAAACGGGTCGAGTTCCTGGTCATACAGTTACGTGAGTACGCCGAAAAAGATCAGCAATAATCTAATTCTAACTGATCCAAATAATAGATAGGTATTACTTAATTTACAACCGACTGCAATATTATTTCATCTGAGCCAAACTTTGCGAGAAAAAAATCTTTGCTGTATTTTTTTCCTATATAAATTCGTTATAAATTGCTTCACAGAGTACAAGGATAAAATAAAAACAAAAGAGATTATGTTAATTTAGGTAATTGAGTAGGTAAATGTTGATCTAGAGTCCATAATGTATTCTGATACACTGAAACAACATAGCGAATGTAAATACATGACAAATTAATTAACAACTATACACCTAGATTCGGAAACCAAATAGATATATAGAAGTACTTAGATATAATACAGACAATCGGAATGTTGCTCAAACTTAGCCTGCTCATTTCAGGCATGCTGGCGAATCGACAGGCGGTTAATTTTTGAACATTTTAAGCTTGTTCTAATGTTAAGTAAAAACGCGGGTTACTCACGTGCATATACTGAGAAAAGCTCTACTAGTTTCGAACCACAGAGGGGTTCTTTCTCATGAGCAGCGTGCGCGGTAGCGTCTAATGTAATAGAACGCCTTCTAGGATGCTATTTTAACCAACTAACAGTATTTTAGCTTAGTCGAATTCTTTAATAAAATTCGATACTACGATATAATTCTGCTTGCAACTAAGTAATGGAGCAGTCTTTACTATTATTATTTTATCAACGAAAAACAATTGACGCTCACAGAATTCGAAGCTACGACCTTTTACGTTCATGCACTGTCGAAGATGCCATTACAGTTTTTCTGTCCTCACAAAGTCAAAGTCAAAGTCAAAATCATTTATTTCAATTAGACCAGGATGGCACTTTTGAACGTCAAACAACAAAAAATTATAAGTGAAGCTAGTTGCTCATTCCAAGGCGTAGATTCCTATGGAGAAGAACGAGCAAGAAACTCCATAGGTTACTCTTCACCTCTATTAAACGAAAAAATTCATTAATTAAACACAAAATAGTTTCTTTTTATTTCAAGTCGTACTCGTTCACACGTTTCACGCGACTAATATTGAATTAGTATTAGTTTATCTAGAACTGAAGTGGATTAACTTCCATAATTTAATATCTGTACACGTGCATACACTTGCTTGAAGTTCAGATTCAGATATTGGAAATAGTCGATCGGTTAGGTTAGTGTAGACGAAACAGGAGCGGAGAAAGTTCAACTACATATATAACAACTAGATAAGTGATTCTGTGAGCCACGTAAAGTTTACTGAAATTCCGTAGAAAATATGGTTCTTCATAGACTTTTTAATTATGATTCTGATGGTCTTTTTTGATCATAGTCACGAGTTAAAATTCTAAATATTGCATCTGATAAACTATTTATTTCAAATTAGGCTAACCTATAGACAGCGCCTTTCGATTAACGACTAAGGCTGGATCCTTCCACTTATGGAAGCAATTTGACAGTTAATGACCCCTTACCCCGGTCTATTTCCCAGTAGACCAAATATGTTTTAAATAGATTAAGTGAAAATAATTTTATACAAATCAAGGACTTACTTGTTATAAAGTATGATGTCGGGTCTCCAGACCCTTTCATACGGTATTCTGATGACTCCGATGCCGTCAAAGTCGCTGGTGTTCCACCTCAGATGGTAGTCTGTCCAGATCTGTGTGATCCAGCAATTTGTCGTCAGGAGCTGGTCTTTTTCTTCCTGTAACAATAACGTTATTATAAATGTATGCCCTGTGGGGTAAAGGACATTCTGAAATAGTTCTAAACTTGAGGAACGCTTTAGACGAGTGTTATGAATAATTCACAAAATATAGAAATAATAACATGATAATACTGAAATTAAAAAGTTATTAAAAGTAAATTGAAACAAAGGTGAAAAAGCCATTATGTCAACGCCTAGAATTGATTGAAATTATCGCAGTACGTTCAGCCTGAACCTCAAAATAAATACTTTGTTCATTACTTATTCTCAAAATTATTCCCTTCATTTCACAAAACGCGATACACCTAACATAATTACAGAACATTTCCGATAAAACAAGCAACAAATCAATCACCCCAAGATACCTTTTAAGAGGGAAAACGATCTCCATGCGCAAGTAATTTCAAACTCAGTAATTTAATATATTAGCCATGAAATTGGTATTCTGATTTCCAATACAAAGAACATTTTCGATATACTAAGAAGATACAAAAACATTCGCTGAGAACAAAAAACTTTGTTCCCTCAAACTTTTTAAAAGCAATCCAAGTTTAACCAGAATTACTGTTGCAAATGCGACGAGATATTAGGGGAAATCGTGTGGAACATTTACCTAAGTAGATATTTTCTGTAATCGTTTTTTCTTGAGGCAAAATGAATAATCTCTTAAATAAATTATGTCTGCTGACAGTACCTACCTATCTATGGCATTTTTCGTAGGCCTATACGATGTTATTTATTAGCTAGTTATTGTTTTCTTTGTTCCATTTTTATTCATTTAGTAGGAACATGATAATAGTAATTTAATACCTACCTACTTCTTAGAAACAAAAGGCCTGAAAGGAATTTTCGATAACTTATTATTGACTGTTTTGCACGAAACGTTTATAATCACCCGAATAGATGATACTAGAAATAAGTTAAGATAAATGAATATAGCGTAACATTTTGTTAAAAGTCGAAACAAATAAAGATTAAAAAAATAAACAAATGGTGAAATGGATAAGATATTCGTACACGTTATTATTCACGTTTAAATAATTACAGAATAATAGTAATACCAATCAACTTTTTCTAAATTTCGGTACCTTCATAATTCATAAACAATCCGCAAAATCCACTACATAAAAGAGATGAATCCCTCCCTTATAATAAGCTGACATACCTATGACCTCGAAAGCGTAAAAAATATATCATTGTCAAAATACAATGTATCGTATGACGGAAAGGTCCAAATATTAACCCGAAATATGGAATGCCAAATTGATGACTGATCAGAAACCGAAATTAGGTCGCCAAAGACTGATGGAATTAGGGATATAGCGAATAAACCTACTTATGATATTTTATACATTATGGATTTTTTGGCGTTCCGTGTCATTAGACAAATGGATCTTATGAAAATAAATTAATTTCAAACATTATATGGTGATGAAGTAGATGTATACGTACGTAGCTAGTATTTCTAAAATTTCCGGATATCTCTTGCCATTTGATCAACGTTTGTCCATTATCTTGCCTGGTGGTAAGTGATGATGAGGCCTTCTTTTGAGTCTTAGGTGAGAAAAGTTTTTAATATAGTGTGACTCTTACTGACTAAAAACCACCCCGTCCCTGCTTCTACTTAGAAGCGGAGCCCTGCTAACCCTATGTTGTCCATAGGTCTGAATCGGGCATCAGCCCTACTGGACTGGACCCCATCTGTGGTGGTCTAATGGATCTTTGAGGTGCGCGCCGTACAAAAAGATCTGGTTCTGGTCGGGCGACGAGTTATTCTTTCCCACCGTCCATAGACTCAAGCGATGATGCGATCCATATTACAATCATAACTTCGACGAATCATAATAATATGTAATCATCCATAAATTTTTATGTAGGGTTTATAAACCAATGAGAGGCACGTGTATGTTTAACTAGACTAACAATAGACATAATTAAAGTTACACAAAATAAAAATAAAGTAAATATTAAGAACCTTCCGCAAACTCACTTTCCTCATGCCTCCGACGTGTTATTAATAAAAGCAGGAAGTAAAAGTACGAAAGTAAAAATATGGTAGTGAATTTCCGACACCCAAAAGGTCTAAATTCGAAATGCACGTGTGGATCGTTTTACAGTTATGAGCTTGATATGATATCAGATTAAATTGCTAACAAGCGTAGGTTCGTTCCCTCTGACGCCGGAGGGAAGGCCTCAAATATCCTCAGTGTACTGAGAACCTTTTCCTTTACGTGTGTTGAATTCTCATGTGAGGAAGATCATTATGATCTGTTTTAGAGTGATCATGTTAAATTATAGCTAGTTTTTATGGTAAAAATCATTTGTGAGTTTAGTTAAAAAAAATATAAGTACTTAAAACAACTTGATTGTTTTTGAAATCTACAAGACTTCTACATGGTAGATAGAAATGAGGAAGCAGTTTTCCAAACATCACATTCTATGAAATTCGACGTAAAGGTACATATTCACATTGCCATTCTGGGTGTCTACTACAAAATTAGATTCTCTGATAATTAACTTAATAACACTTGTACCTACTCTGATATTGCAGGCGACACTATTAACTTCTCATCAGATGTTCTTACTAAGGGCCAATTTTTCAATGCTCAGATAAACTTTAACGGAGGAATAACTTTCAGTATTTGACATTTCGTCCATACAAAAAAACTGTCATCTGTCAATTTTATTCTTCAGTTAAGAATTAACTAATGATTGAAAAATCGGCCCTAAAACTATAAAAATAAGAAAATAAAACCTTCTAAACAATTACACCAAAGAAAGGTCAACACAAAATCACGGTGTAGAACTGTAATAACGGTAAATGATTTGATGGCAAACAAAATGGCGGTGATTACCCTTTCGTGTGTCATGTACCCACTACCCATGTCAAAACGTCTCTCTCTAACAAGAATGTCGTAATATTCATCATGCTTGAATGATTACTTCAAATAACCTTGGTAGGTGAATTTTTATGAAGGGGGATCGAGTTTTCTAGAAAGATTGTAAATATTTTTATGTAAGCAATTTAAATGAGTCATGATTAAGTCAGTCAGTCTATTTATTAGTTTATTACATTGTTATTCCTAAAATCATTGTTATTCCTAAAATCATTGTTATTCTTAAAATCATCGAATTACTTCTCCCGCCTGGATGAGGCGGGAGAAGTAATCGGGAGTCTGCCACACCCGTGTCAGACTCTTACTGACTCAAAACCACCCCGTTCCTACTCCTGCACTTCGAGTCGGAGCCCCGGTAACCCGCTAAGTTCTCCGCGGCACCGTATCAGAATCAGCCTTATTGGGCCCCATCCGTGATGGACTGATGGCTCTTTGAGGCGTGCGGTACGCACGGGTCGGGTCTGGTTCTGGTCTGGCCGCGAGCCACCCATGCTCACCGTCTGCAGGCCCGCGCTTACGGTGGCCGAAGATCCTATTCCTAAACCACTAAGGGCCTGTTTCACAATATCTGGTTGCCGTTATCTACCAGACAAATTTGAATTAAGAACGTAATTTATATGAACTATCTGTCACATAAGTTTATCAGGTACTTTTACGGAGGTAGTGAAACCGGCATTTAGTCAATTTCGATGTGTAATCACTCATGAATACAGCACTGAAACGCTTAAAGTAGCTTAATATAATTACTAATCATCATCATCAATAATAGCCTATAAATGCCCACTGCTGAGCAAAGCCTCTTCTCACACGGAGAAGGTTCGATCATTAATTACCACGCTTGCACAATGCGGGTTGGCGATTACAAACTTATAATTAGAAAATATAAGCCCAAGCTTCCTCACGATGTTTTCCTTCACCGTTTGTCAGTGGTGTCTAAATAATCTTAGAAAGAACAATATAAGTCGGAAAAGTCACATTGGTACTTGCCGTTGCTATCTTAAACCTCCAGACCACCACGACATTACTAGTTGAAGTACATATAATTCCTTTTTTTATTTTATAGACCCATTTCTAAATGCTACCTAATATACTTTGGTAAAAATACATTAGTCAAACTTGTACTAAGTACTTTTATACAACAAAAATCACATATTAAGTTATAATCCAACGTAAAGTCAAATATCCAACTACACTCTCAACAAATTACACTCTAGTTATAAAAAGGCCGAGGGCAAAGCTTTTCAATACCGAAAAAAAGGTAGACAAGCGAAAATTTTCATTTTGCATAATTAAAAAGTCGTCGATCATTTACTTGGGTATTAAAAGGAAAATACTTTATTTTATTTCCCAATTTATGATCTTATAAATATTATATGTTTGAAGAAACCAAATTTATAACGTTAATTATTTAATTACATACGTCCCTTTTCCATAGTATTCCCTTCCCTATAATTATCGTGTTATTGATTTAAACATCTGCAAAACACAAAACGAAAAGGAAACTGTAGAAGTGGTGAGAAAAACAGTCTAGATTGTGTGTAAGTATGCAAAATGCCTCGGGGAGAAAATCGGGAAGTCTTTGGCGAAATAAAAAAAAGAGTGAACAAAAGGAGCATGTTTGAATTGATGCAGCAAGTTCTAAGCCATTCAATACATAGACTGCTATAATATACAGACCTACGTCACATCGTCAGAGCTCGATAACGCTTGACTCGCACGAATAAAAAAAATCAGAACCTCGTTTCTCACACAATAAAATAAAATCGAGTCACAAATACGTTGAAGTATTGGATTTTTTCTCATGAATCACAAATTCGCAACTATATAATTTGAGATTTATTTACGCCTAAACGAGCACGCGCGTTCACCAAAACGAATAAAGTCGTACGTAACATTTTATAAGAAAAAACGTACTTTATTTCTAAATGTGTACTTGTGTGTACTTCACGGCTTTTACTGCTTCAAGCGACGTTAACTTTAAACATGTTCCTCAAGAGAGTGTAACCCTCAGAAACACTTGAGATACTGAAATATATTTTCGCAAACCGTTTCATATTAAACAAATGCAAGCAACCATTAAAAGATTCGTGAAATGCATGA